CCAATGGTATCTTGAATTAAAACTTGCGGAATTAAAAGCGGGAAATGGGGAAAAATTTTGTTTTATATTACGAAATACAGACAATATTACGAGACATATTTATGTCTGTATTCAACTTTTTAAAACTTCAACACAAGTTATTTATCGTTGTTGCACAGCTTCGTTACATGAATTTAATTCCAGCATCAAATGGAGCAATAAAAGTGGTTCCGATATTTATAATGCATTTGGAAAATCTATACTTCAAAATGTTCTACTTACATGTGAAATCAGTATCTTTGATTTCAATACAAATGGAATAGAAAAATCACTTGTATCTAATTCTTCGAAATGCAATGATTTAATGGAAAATATTGCAACATTGCTTGATAATGAAAATTTTGAAGACATTACATTTAAAGTAGTGAATAAAAATTTCACTGCACATAAAGCAATATTAACAGCTCGAAGTCTGTTTTTGCTGCAATGTTTAATATTAAAATAAATGAACAACTAACGTCTGAAGTTGAAATAAATGATGTAAAACCAGCGGTATTTCAAAAAATGCTTCAATTCATTTACAGTGATCGTGTTAATGTGTATTAAAAATTTATACGATAATCTATCGTCAAAAACAGTTGTAAAAACTCTTGAGATTGCAGATTTATATTCAGTTTCTGAATTAAAGGATAAATGTCTTCAACTGATAAAAATAAAGAATTTGAAGAAATTCATAATTTAAAAGAATTTAAAAAATTACTAAAAAAATCGTCCATATTTGTTATTGAAAGTTGTGAAAATACAAAAAACATTTGTTGGCGATAATAATAAAGACGGAGAATATTTTGAGAATTGGACTTATCAACTTCCTACATAAATGAAAATTTATTTTTTAAATTTGTACTTCTACATCGTTAATTTATTTTTGAAAAATTATAAGAAAGTTTCAAGAACTTAACAATTTTAATTTCTGAATTATTTTCATTCGAAATAGAATGTTAATGAATGGTTTTTTTTAATAGTTTTAGGTCAATTTGTAAAACTAAAATATAAAATTTTTAAACTATTAATAGTTCTTCGTTTTCGTATAATATTGTATAAATTGTTAGAATATATTAACGATATTTATAAGAAGCTAAAATTTTCACGTATTATTTTCGAAAAAAGGTCTCTTTCAGAGGAAAATCACATATATATAATATAAACATTACACCCAGCTTAATTGTATATTAAATTTAAAAAATTTAATAAAAAGTTTAATTAAGAATATTTAAAATAAAATTTTATTTCTAGCGTGCCTGAGAAGTAATTTCTGGTAATTTCATTTCTTTGCTTAGTGCTTCTTGTGCAGGCGAACGATCAAAACATTAAGTTATATTTCAATTATACTGATAAAAATTATGGCATTTATTTTAGAAGTAAAAGTGAAATTCTATATACGCTAAAACAAGAGAAAATAAGTGTTTAACAATTTAATCTAATAATTTTGTGATCGTAAACGCAAATTTTGAAACGATTCAGAATCATATATGAACAAATTATACACCGTAAATATTAAAAATAATTACATAATTTTGTAAATCAGCATATTACAGCAGGTAATAATTTTATTATTTTTTATTTTCATTTATTATTACTATTATTATTGTATCTTAAACTAACAATTTTTTTTACCGTTCCATCTCAAATTGTACAAGAATGAGAAAAAATAAATTATAATAAATAAAATGATTTTAAAGAGTAAAAAAATTAATCCAACTTTGAAATAGTACGATTATAACTAATGCAATTTTTAAATAAAAGGAATTTAATTTTTTTTTTTCTTGCAAAATTTCAAATAAATTATTTAAAAAGAAAAAATATAATTTAAATAATGGAAAATTTTTTTCTCAAAATACTTGATAAATTGAACTAAAATTTTGAGGACAAAGTGTACCAAAATATATAAAAATATTTTGTCAAAAAAATTTTTCTTAAAAATTGCATGTTTTGTAGCAATGACAAAAAGTGTAATGCCGACATATTGAATTTTTCTCAAATATGCATTTTTTTAAAAAATTAATTCTTTAATAAAATGCTAATACTCTGTCACATAAAAGCGAATTTTTATGCTATTTTTTATTTATCTACAAAATTATATTTTTTAATCTTTCAAAATATTTTGCGAGAAAAACTGTGGAGAATATTTGGATACATGTGAAATCACAACTTTCACATGACCTTAAAATCGTTTGTCGCATGGAATTTCAATACGTGCTCAATTAATTTGTATATTCACAGCTTTTTGTGCAAATTTACTATAGTGGTAACATTTTGTTAATTTTATGAAAAAAAAAAAAAACAAAAACTATTTTCAGTTGTTTAAATCAACTGATATAAAATTTTTTGATATTGGATCTGAAAAATAATGTTTGAGCTTTCATTTCATCCTATGTAGAACATTTTAATCCCTCGCGTTTTTATTTTACAGCTGTGCAAAAAGTGCCAAAATCGCGCTTTTTGGCACTTTAAAACTCTTGCTGCTTGAAACCTAGAGTCAATTGGATATTTTCAAGGTTAGATTCGGATTCTACGGCAAAAATCCTATAAAAATCGGCTGTAAGATTTTAGTCAACAAAATTTTGTCGGCCTGTGTAATATAACGAATTTTATCTCAATTGGTGAATTTAGATTTGCAACCACAAATATGGAATTTTTTTGATAAAATATTAATACTCTGTCACATAAAAGCGAGTTCTTATTCTAGTTTTGGTTTATCCACAAAATTTTAGCTCAATCATGATAATGTTTTCTTTGAAAATCTGCGGAGAATATTTACATGTGAAATGACAACAACATCACATGATTTTAAGATCGTTTGTTCATGAGAGTTATAAACATAAACATAAAGGTGCTTTTATACCTCAGTATTTTGGTCAAGCAATCAGCTGGATTGAATTTTCACGGTTATATCACTGAATTTGATTGGCTCTAACAGTATTCAATTTTTACAGTGGAAATGGAATATTTGTCGAAGCCAATCAAATTCAGTGATACAATTGTGAAAATTCAATCTTGTCGATTTGCATGACCAAAATACTGATGGTATAAAAGCATCTTAAAATTTAAAAATATTTGTTAAAACATTTTTTAATAAATAAAATTTATATTATATTTATAATTTTTTAACATATATTAATTTTTATTATAATACCATTTTTCAGTTTTGAAGTTATGTTAGGGCCTCCATTAAATACAAATTTTATTAATAAATATATAATTCGGGAATTTATAACAGAAAAACTTTTCCAATAATTATTAATCTAGGATTCCAATATATAAATTATAAATATTCAATACAATACTTTTTTTATATTTAGCGGGAAATTAATACTGGATTCGGCAATTTTATTTATGAATGTTTGAAGAATAATTGAACAGCTGGCGACCAAAAGGGCTTACGCGAGGTTTTCATATTGGCCTCCGGAATAGCTGGAGACTCGCTAAACGCGGGGCCAACGAAAGTCACGCGTAAGGACTTTTGGTCGCTGGCGCTTCAATTTTAAAAATGCATATTAACCTCGATATTAACTGTTCACTATTTTTCCAGATTCAAATAATGGCTATGAAAGAAAGTTTTGTTCATATAAATTATAATAGAAATTGCATTGAACGTCAATCGATCTTTTACTTCAAAATTAAAGTTTTATAATATTCAATTTGAATGGAATATTGAAGATTTTTTGTTAATTTACCAAAATATGGAACGAATTGAATCACCCAGATTTCCGTCAACGAAATTAAAAGAAGGACAGTGGTTTCTTGCACTGAGAAAAATAATATCGTAATAATAAGAAAATAATTTAGTTAAGCATTTTTAGTTGGCCTTACTAAAGTATGGTTGGCACAACAGAAAAGAAAGTGGCAATCAATCGAAAAATTTAGTTTGCTCTACCAAAAAATATTTTTGAAGGTTTCATGTCTACGAACTAAACAGTTTGGTTCTCCGTACTAAATCGCTGGCACGCAGAATTGCGCACGCGCTGTTCTCGAAAATGTGGCGTCGGTCGTAGGGCCTAGTCAGTCGTGGATAGTGTTCTAAAGACAGTAAATTACGTCAAGAAGAGAAAGAAGATTACGGTAATTTACCGGTAAATTACCGGATCGTTTTTTCTCTGAGAATTTATGAGAATTTTTACTTGTACTTTTATCCTTGTCTGACACGTGCGTTGTCATGACAACGTGTATGACGAGGATAAAAGTACAGACATATGTTCCTGACTGTACAATTATTATTATAATGAAAAATATCTTTGTTACAATATATAATATATATATTAATATATTAATATTGATATAATATTACATTATTATATTGAATCAGGTACATTTATATGCCTGCACTTTTATCCTTGTCTAACACACATGTTGCCATGACGACGCACGTGTTAGACAATGATAAAAGTGCAGGCATATATGTTACACGACTGTCATCTTGTCAGTAAGAACACAGAGAAAATTAGGGTGCAGTCCCATGGAGCAGATTAGACGTTGACCAATAAAAAAAGTCTCTAACTGAAATGCAAAAATTTGCCGCGAGAGACTAACTTTTGATTGGCTGAAATCTATTCTGCTAATCTGCTCTATGGGACTGCACCCTTACAGTCTATTATATTCAATGTTCAAATTATTCATTTAATAACATGTCGGTCGTTTATTTATAACTTACATACTATAAAAATACATATTTAAATTTAAAAAAGGCAATTATCAATCACTTAAATGAATATTCTCATATATTCTCATAAATTCTCTTTTTTTCGGTAATTTACCGCAATTTTCTTTCTTACCTTCTCAGGTTTCAATTTTACTGAGAATTTTAAAACACTAGTCGTGGACCTCTTCCGCGTTATGCTTATCCGATCATTTATGTCATGTGTTTTTATTGTTCGGCTGGTCTATTATCGTAGCAGTGTCATTAAAGTTTTATAAATATTTATTTTTTAAAAGTGTACTGAAAGTGTTTCTTTTATTTCGAAAGAATGGCTGACGAAGTGACAAAACGTTTGCTAAGAGAATGGGGGTTAGAATGCCTCGTGGCATTCTGTATCAACTTTTGAAAACTTGCTCCTCAATTTTATGCGATATCATTTTGAGATATTTCATGAAACGCGCGTAGTGTGTACTTACGGGAAGATAAATTATTTTTGTAATGTCTAAGCATAATTAATTTAATAAAGTTATATTATTAATCTCATCTCTCTTGAATTAAAATACCTTATTTTTTATACAAAATCGTAAAAATTACCAAATAAACTATTTTATATAAAATAAATTATTTAGTTATTTCTACAAAAAAAATTTTTTTAATCAACGAAAAGAGTAAGTTGAAATAACTAAATTTTATTTACGTCAACAGAACATTTTTTTCATTCTAATAAATGTATTTATTACGTAGACTAAATTATTTGGTTACACCTACTAAATAATTCAATTGAGCGAAATTTAACGGTTGGACAAAAAAATTTAGTACTCCCAACCAAACGGGTTAGTTGCACATATATCAAATAAAAAATTTGGTAGGGACAACCAAACTTTGATACATGATACCAAACAGTTTTCTCAGTGTGTAATTGTACCTACAGAATTAAGAGAAGGAAATAATAAAAAATGTACTATTTATTTAAGAAATGTCTGTAGTCTTCGAGCAAGTTATATTAATGCTAGTATTAAACTTCTTTGGGATAGTAGAGAATTGGAATCTGTTAATACATTACAGCTGTTGGAAAGTAGTTCTAACCTCTTTTGGGAATGTGGAACTGGTTCTAAACTGTATAATATATATAAAAATATTTTCCCTCATACTATTACAATTGTTTGCTGTATTACTGTTTTTGATTTGGACAGAACAAAAATAAAAAATCCATTGTCTGATTCCCTGAAATGTAATGACCTAGTGGAAAACATCGCAAGTTTGCTAGACGATGAAAATTTCAAAGATGTCACGTTTAAAATAGAAAAGCAGGAATTAACTGCCCACAAAGCGATACTCGCTAATCAAAGTCCTGTGTTTGCTGCGATGTTTAATAATAAAATGAATGAACAACTAACGTCTGAAGTTGAAATAAATGATATAAAACCAGAAGTATTTCAGAAAATGCTTCAATTTATTTACTGTGATCAAGTTGACAATTTAGACGAATCGGCATTAGAATTGTATTACGTTGCCGACAAATATCAACTAGAAAAACTAAAGATTATGTGCATCAAAAGTTTACAGGATAATTTATCCTCAGAAACAGTTGTAAATACTCTTGATGTTGCGGATTTGTATTCAATTTCCAAATTAAAGAATAAATGTTTGAATTTTTTAAACAAAGAATGTGAAATAATGAATACAATAGAGTTTAAACAATTAGTACAAGAACGTCCACATTTATGCATTGAACTTGTGAAAGTGGAAAAAGTATCTGATGAAAATGACGATGAAGAAGAAAATAAGAACTGTTATGAGAATTGGACTCATACAATACGTGCAGAAGAATAAAAACTTTTAAAAATTTAATTATACTAAATTGTCATCGTTTATGTAATTTTTTAAAAATTATAAACAAAAGAAGGTACTTTGAAAAACGTTATATTCTTTAATCAAAAGAAAGCAGATTGTAAAAGCTTAGTTTATTTTTTTAAATTGTTTTCATTCTAAATCGAGAACTATTTATATTTTTCATTTTTTTTTGTGTTGCAAATAATGTTAACAAATGAAGAAAGATTGTATAATAATTTCTGGTAAATTTGTACAACTTTAAAAAAAAAATGTCTAATTATTTACATTATTGATAATTACTTCATTTTCATGTATGCGGAATCTAAAGTATGTAATAACGTTACAACAATAAACAAATTCAATTATTTTGTAATTTAATTGTTTTAATAATAATTTATGTTTTAAAATTCTATTATTATATGAGACTCAATTTTTTTACGGCATAATTTTCAAATGGCAATAAATTTTACTTGGATCAATGGAATTGTAAATTTTATTACCAAACATTTTTTTTGTGTAGAGAATTTTCTAAACTTTCAAATATAATTATTGATTTTTTTTCAGAAATGTAGTTTTTGCCAAAAAAAGAGCAAATAAATTTTTTTTTTATTTTTTCTACTCCTTTCGACCCTTTCAAAACTGCCCTAAAATATATATACGTGAGTATATTATATTAAAACCACTAAATAAAATAAATTATTAGGGTCAGTCGGGGTAAATCCGAACGGGGGGTAAATCCGAACGCTAATTATTTCAGCTTAATTAAAATTTTTAAAAATAAGTTCGATATGAGAATTTTTACCTCAGATCCTCTTGAAGAGATTCTAAGTATTATCCCATTTTTTGTTTGTTAATTAGCAACAGCATAAACAAAGATAACAAGTATTGCAAAAAAGATTGAAAATCAAAGATGACACTCTTTCAGTATTTTGTCTCGTATTTGAAGAAAAAGAAGCTAAAAATTCATTTTATTATTTATAATTGTTTGTTATGAATACTAGAACAGAAACTATTTTTGATTTTTGCCTTCTGTAAAATTTTATTAATAATATCAGACCGTTCGTATTTACCCAAAAAAATTGGAAAACTGGGGTAAATCCGAACGGTATTTTTAATAATTTTTTTTACATCAAAGCCACACAAAATTGTTTTTATTTCATTACACTATTATTTTAACATTATAAAAGTACATAGAAAAAAGTTTTTCTTTCTATACGTATCCTCGTTAGTAATTAATAAGCAGAAACTTAATCTCTGTTCTCTCGAAGGAGTGTTCCACTTTTTTTGCCAAATGGTTTGTTGAAAAAAGTTTTACAGGATCTTAATAAAATTTGGTATTCTACGGTTTTTGGGGTCGCTAATTACCAATTTGAAGTCAGTTTTTCAAAATTCAAAATGGCGGACGAGAATTAAAAAATTCATTGGATTCGCTCGAAAATTGTTACTCGGGGGGTTTCAGGGTTAGCAAATTTGATCATTTTTAAAAATAAGTTTTAGGAAAGTCCGCCATTTTGAATTTAAAAAATTTGACTTTTATTTTTGTATTTACATTCAATCACTCCAAAATACTTTCTGTAGCAAGTTTTGCAAAAATCCGTTATGATTTGATAAAGTTATTGAAGGTTTTAATTGTGTAATGCATTTTAATTTTTAACCTGTTTGATTTTTGTATTTATATATGATGCATTATTACATAATAGGTTTATTATCGTATTTTTTTTTGAGTTTTTATATAAGTTTAACAATTGCAATACTTTAAATTTATTTTCCCTAAGATTTTTCTGAAATACAGTGGCGTTCGTATTTACCCCCATATTTTAGGAAAGTTGCAAAGTATCGAGGTAAATACGAACGCTAAGTTTCCTGCGATTGTAATTTATCAAAAATTTTTTCTACCCCATAAAATTGTTCTATGGAAGTAAAGTAACAACTTCATGCACCAGAATACCGGAAGTATTTTTTTTTTCAAGAAAAAACTTATGTTATTGTTGAAACTTACTAAAAGCGTTCGGATTTACCCCAGTTGACCCTACTCCTCATTTTCCAATATGTTTTATCTTTTAATTACAAATTGAAGGAAGAAAAATAAATTCCACCCCTTTTTGACGAAAGTGAAACATCTTAAAACAAGTTGTAAATTCAGATGTTCATTACATGAACATTTTGCTTCCTCTTTACGATCAGCAAAAAAATTTGCTTCCTCGTGGAGAAAGCATTAACATTGAAATAAATATACATAAATAATATAATAATATAAACATTTGAGATGAATTTAAAGAATTAATGGAATAATTAACGATTAAAAAAATAAATAAATAAAATTTATTCTTTATATATATATATATATATCAATCAATTCATTTCGATGCAAGGAATACAATTATTTTATATATAAACTAGAATTCAATTAAACATAAATTATTTTAGCTAACATGTGAATTTTTTTGATTTCTTAACATTCATTATTCTTTAAAATTAAATCAAATGTATACTTTATATACAGGGTGATTTTTATGTTCCGGACCCCCAAAATATCTTGAAAGGAAATAGTTTTTGAGAAAAATGTTGTATACAAAAGTTGTCAGGTTGAAAAAAATCTATTAAACTGAATAATTAAAAAACGGGCCCAGGGCCTTATGTGGGCCCTACAGACAAAAAAGTAAATTTTTTAAATGGAACCAAGTATTTTCAAACTCAGATTCTTGTAGCCAGTGATTTTCTCTTTTGAGACATGTGGTAACTTGTGGGCCCAAAGTTAAATTTGGGCCCAAAATTCGATTTTTTGTGGTTTTAAAGGTGATTTTAGTGTGAATTAGTTCTAAGGGGTTTTTGGGGTCCCTGATTACGAATCTGAAATCAGTTTTTAAAAATTTTTAATAACGGACCCAGAATGACTGATTAAATATGAAAAAATAAAGGAAAATAATGAAACTTCTTATTTTAGACTTATTTAGCCTTCTAATTGTTAATTAAATGTTACTTTTATTGCTTTTAAATTAGTATTATATACCTTGGGGTAAAAAATTAGATTTTTACAAATTTTAAATTTATGGGCTTATAAGGCCCAAAATTCGTTTTTTTGTGATTTTAAAGGTGATTTTAGTGTGAATTAGTTCTAAGGGGTTTTTGGGGTCCCTGATTACGAATCTGAAATCAGTTTTTAAAAATTTTCAATAACGGACCCAAAATGACTAATTAAAAATGAAAAAAATTAAGGAAAATTATGAAACTTCATATTTTAGACTTATTTAGCCTTCTAATTGTTAATTAAATGTTACTTTTATTGCTTTTAAATTAGTATCATAAACCTTGGGGTAAAAAATTAGATTTTTACAAATTTTAAATTTATGGGCTTATAAGGCCCAAAATTCGTTTTTTTGTGATTTTAAAGGTGATTTTAGTGTGAATTAGTTCTGAGGGGTTTTTGGGGTCCCTGATTACGAATCTGAAATCAGTTTTTAAAAATTTTTAATAACGGACCCAGAATGACTGATTAAATATGAAAAAAATGAAGGAAAATAATGAAACTTCTTATTTTAGACTTATTTAGCCTTCTAATTGTTAATTCAATGTTACTTTTATTGCTGTTAATTTAGTATCATAAAACTAGGGGTAAAATAAACAATAGATTTTTTCAAATTTTAATATTTAGGGGCTTATAAGGCCCAAAATTAGATTTTCTTTGGTTTTAAAAGTGATTTTAGTGTGACTTAGTTTCCAAGGGGTTTTCGTGGTCCCTGATTACGAATCTGAAATCAGTTTTTAAAAATTTTCAATAGCGGACCCAAAATGACTAATTAAAAATGAAAAAAATTAAGGGAAATTATGAAACTCCATATTTTAGACTTATTTAGCCTTCTAATTGTTAATTAAATGTTACTTTTATTGCTTTTAAATTAGTATCATAAACCTTGGGGTAAAAAATTAGATTTTTATACAAATTTTAAATTTATGGGCTTATAAGGCCCAAAATTCGTTTTTTTGTGATTTTAAAGGTGATTTTAGTGTGAATTAGTTCTAAGGGGTTTTTGGGGTCCCTTATTACGAATCTGAAATCAGTTTTAAAAAATTTTTAATAATGGACCCAGAATGACTGATTAAATATGAAAAAAATGAAGGAAAATAATGAAATTTCTCATTTTAGACTTATTTAGCCTTCTAATTGTTAATTCAATTTTACTTTTATTGCTTTTAATTTAGTATCATAAACCTTGGGGTAAAAAATTAGATTTTTACCAATTTTAATATTTACGGTCTTATAAGGCCCAAAATTAGATTTTCTTTGGTTTTAAAAATAATTTTAGTGTGACTTAGTTTCGAAGTGTTTTCGGGGTCCCAAATTATGAATCTGACATGGATTTTTAAAAATTCAAAACAGCGGACCAAAAATGACATAGAAATTAATAAAATTAAGGAAAATTATAAAACTTTTTATTTTAGACTTATTTAGCCTTCTAATTGTTAATTCAATGTTACTTTTATAGTTTTTAATTTAGTATCATAAACTTTAAGGGAAAAAAAATTTATAGATTCTTACTAATATTAATGTTTAGGGGCTTATAAGGATGAAAATTCTGTTTTTAGTTGTTGTAAAACTCATTTTTAATCAACAAAATTTGATTTTTTGTGGTTTTAAAGGGGATTTTAGTGTAAATTAGTTCTAAGGGGTTTTTGGGTTCCCTGATTACGTTTTAAATTCATTTTAGTGTAACTTAGTTCCGATGGGTTTTCGAGCTTCTTGATTACGAATCTAAAATAGTTTTTAAAAATTCAAAATAGCAGACCCAAAATGACTTATTAAAAATAAAAAAAATTAAGGAAAATTATGAAATTTATTATTTTAGACCTATTTAGCATTTTACTTGTTAACTTAATGTTACTTTTACACAGCTCTAAATTTACTATCCTTTGGGGGCAAAAAGGAAGATTGGTTTATTTTTCAAATTTAAATTTTGGGGGCTTATGGGTTCCAAAATTGGATCTTCTGTGGTTTTAAGAGTCATTTTAGTTTAAGGAAACTTTCTGCTTTAGAATTGAAAAAAGACACGTTTTAAAACTTTTATTGTATGGAAAGTATTAAATAAAATGCCAAAATTTTTTGGACATTGTTGCAAATTACATAGAGAAAATTAAAAAAAAAATTTTCAGTGTTTTTCATTTTTAATCAGTCTTTTTGGGTCCACTTTTTTGATTTTTTAAAAACTGATGTCCGATTTTTAATCAGGGACTAAAAAGACCCCTTGGAAATAAGTCACACAAAATAACTTTTAAAACTACTGAAAATCTAATTTTGGGCCTTATAAGCCCCTAAATATTAAAATTGGTAAAAATCTAATTTTGTACCCCAAGGTTTATGATACTAAATTAAAAGCAATAAAAGTAAAATTGAATTAACAATTAGAAGGCTAAATAAGTCTAAAATAAGAAGTTTCATTATTTTCCTTCATTTTTTTCATATTTAATCAGTCATTCTGGGTCCGTTATTAAAAATTTTTAAAAACTGATTTCAGATTCGTAATCAGGGACCCCAAAAACCCCTTAGAACTAATTCACACTAAAATCACCTTTAAAACCACAAAAAAACGAATTTTGGGCCTTATAAGCCCATAAATTTAAAATTTGTAAAAATCTAATTTTTTACCCCAAGGTTTATGATACTAATTTAAAAGCAATAAAAGTAACATTTAATTAACAATTAGAAGGCTAAATAAGTCTAAAATATGAAGTTTCATAATTTTCCTTAATTTTTTTCATTTTTAATTAGTCATTTTGGGTCCGTTATTGAAAATTTTTAAAAACTGACTTCATATTCCTAATCAGGGACCCCGAAAACCCCTTGGAACTAAGTTACACTAAAATCACCTTTAAAACCACAAAAAATCGAATTTTGGGCCCAAATTTAACTTTGGGCCCACAAGTTACCACATGTCTGAAAAGAGGAAATCACTGGCTACAAGAATCTGAGTTTGAAAATACTTGGTTCCATTTAAAAAATTTACTTTTTTGTCTGTAGGGCCCACATAAGGCCCTGGGCCCGTTTTTTAATTATTCAATTTAATAGATTTTTTTCAACCTGACAACTTTTGTATACAACATTTTTCTCAAAAACTATTTCCTTTCAAGATATTTTGGGGGTCCGGAACATAAAAATCACCCTGTATAACAATGGATTCGTTTCAATGCAAGGAACACAATTATTTTTATATTTAAACTTGAATTTAAATAAATACAACATTTTTCAGCTAAAATGGGAATTTTTTTTTTAACTTTCATTAATTTATTAAATTTACCTCAAATGTATACTTTATATATACCAATCGATTCGTTTTTATGCAAGGAATACAATTATTTCATATATAAATTTCAATTTAAAAAATCATAAAATTTTATTGCCAAAATGTGAATTTTTGATTTTTTAACTTTCATTTATTCTTTAAATTTAAATTGAAATTATACTCTATATGTACCAATAGATTTGTCTTGACGTAAGGAATACGATTTTATTATATTCAACCATAAATTTTACTATTTAAAAATTTTTTCGATTAAAAAAAAAATTTTGGAAAAAAGACGATAAAATTTTTTTTTTAGGTATTTTTTAAAATCTTTTGGTCAGATTTGAGATATTTATATGATAAATGAGCCTACCAAATTTTATCTAAATCCATTAAAATTTGTTAAAGTTATCGTCTAAACAAAAAAGGGATCCACACACACACATACATACATCCGGACAATTGATCAGGATCTCATATAACATGTTTCCATATAGAAAAAAATTTGTTTCCACCACTTTGAAAATTTTTATAAACGAAAGGACTACAAACCTTCCTCCACGAGGAAGCAAAAATAAAATTTATGAAAACTTAAAATTTTTTCTACACGGAAAAAATAAATTCAGTAGATTTTACAGAACTATCACGGAGTAGCGGATACAGCTCTTTACGAAACTGAGTATTGTAAAATGTCACGAAATATTCAGAATAAACTCCAGAAATATTCAGTATAAACAACGAAATTTCTGTAGTTTATCCGAAAATATCCATCACATTTTACAAAATTTAGTTTCGTAAAGAGCTGTATCCGCTACTCCGTCACAGTTTTGTAAAATATACTGAATTAATTTTTTCCGTGTATTTATTTTTTAAAATATAATAAAATTTTGAGAAGAATAAAATCTGAAACAAATAATTTTTTAACAATCTTTATTAATATCAATTATTATCGATAACTTACATAAGAAACAAGAAATATTATATTAATATATTGAAAAGTAATTGAAAAAATTCACATATATGTATCATGTACAAAATAAAAAGAAACGAAAAAAAAAGAAACACAAAATAATAAATAGAAAATAATTTTAATCTTATGATTACTTGATTCGTGTGAAATTTTTCAAATTTCTCATACACGAAATGTTAAATTTAACTTATCATTGGATTCATCATCGTTTTTCTTTTCTCCAGAATTAATTGCCCTTAAATTTTTTTTGATTTCATCATTTAAATCAGGTAATTTTTGCACTAATTCTAAAAATTCTTTTGTGTCCTTGACAAATTTTAAATCATTATTCAAACGTTCTAAACATTTGTTCTTCAATTTTGAAATAGAATTCAAATCAGCAAATTTTAAAGTTGATAAAATAGTTTCTGAATTTATATTTTTATTTAAACAATTAATGCACATTGTTTTTAATTTTTCTAATTTATATTTATTAGCGGCAGTAAATAATTCAAATGAATTTTCCTTTAAATTTTCCACTCTATCGGTATAAATAAAACGAAGTAATTTCTCAAAAATTCCTGGCGTTACATCAATAATTTTAATAATTGACGTTAATTCCTCATTTTTTTTATTTTTAAACATTCCAGCAAATATTGAACTACGAAGTGCAAGAATTGCTTTATGTGCAGTAAATTTATGTCTTCCAATTTTAAAAATAACATCAATAAAATCTTTATTTTCATATAAATTTTCAATATTTTCCGATAAATTATGAAATTTTGATGAATCAATTAATTGTTTTTCAATTATCGATGTTGCTGATTTAAAAACACTTAATTTACAAATAACCAATATAACTTTTGGTACAGAATTATTAAATGTTTTAAATAAATCAGATCCACTCTTAGACCACGTTAAATTATGATCTCGTTTTATATTACCACCGGTAATAAAGTTTTGAAATATTTTTTCTGATGAATCGCAAAATGAAATCTTCATACTTATGAATCTATTACGCCCATCGGTATTGTGTGTTACAATAACAAATTCCTTTTTATTTCCATCTTCTATTTCTGTTGGTTTTATTTTAAGAAACCATTGAACATTTTCTAAATGTTTTGATGGAAATTTTGGCGACTCTATTGTTTCAACAGATTGACAAATAAGATCAAAATTTTCAATTCTCCATTTCAATACATAATTATTGAATTTCAAATTTGTATGATAACTGAGTTCGTCGTCGATTTTATCAAATGCATTAGTTGAAGTCATAGTTTAATGAAAAATTTAATTTTTCGTCTGAAAATAAATGAAAAAATAGTTCTATTATTAAATTTTCAAATATTTATTTAAATATTTAAAAAGTAATTTTTTTTTTTATTATTAAATAGAACATTAACTTTTAGTCAAATTTTTAATTTTTCCAAATATATCATTTCAAAGAATTTCTTATCTAAACGAATTTTTTTTTTAAACAGAATTATTATAATTTATTTTAAATTATTAAAATAGAATTTTATTTTCTTGGAAAATTTTTTTTTTTTAAATATTTTTTCAAACTTGCAATTTTTTTTATCAGACCTCAAAAAAATTATGATTTTAATTTGAATTATTATTTTAATACTAATTTTATTATTTTTAAATCTGCTTCAAATTATTTTTATTAGAAAAAAAAAAAAAAAAAAATGAACGCCAAAATATTGATAATAAAAGACAAGCAATTTTTAAATTTATAATTCTAAAACTAGATTTTTTAAAAATAAAATCACATCTCTGGAAAGTAAATCTGATCGTTTATGTAAAATAAAAATAAGTTTTTATTGAATATTTTCGATGTATTGAAAACTTATAATATTGAGACGGGCGTCTATTCAACATAACCTATAATTAAATTTGAAGATAAATTTTTCCCTTACACAATTTAATTGATTATAAAGTTGTAATTATTTTCTCGATTTTTTTTTGTAGGGATAGAAATTGGAAATAAAAAGCCTCTTTTTTTTAGAAAAAAAAAAATTATTTGCGAATCGCACATAACCTAATTTTATCGTTTAAAGGGTTTAAAGTTTTTATAAAATCTATGTTTTTTAAATAAACGTAAATAAATTATTATTTATATAACATACATATATACTTACTATTTTGCAAAATATTCTAAAACACTTAATTCGATATTTCTGGAATTATAAAAAAATACGAGCATTTGCTCTCTACATATGCAAAATTGTGGAAAATTTATATGCAATTGATTTCCGTAGAGAAAGAGAAACTAGTTTTCCATTAGAATGAGAGAGAGAAAAAGACAAATATCTTCTATCTTTTGTTTTATACCTAAACTTAAAGTGAGACACGCAAATATCTTTCATCTATTTTTTATTGATTAGAATTTTTAAGGCCTTTCTCCAATAGGTTCCTAAATGTTTGCGTTGCGTGACTGATTGCGAACAAAAAGTTTGGTTTATGATTTTAAAACACTACATTTTTTAATTATACCTAAATATTAAATAATTAAAATTATTAAAAGCCGTCGAGAAACATTTGCATTTAAAATTGTAAAGTTGGAAAACAGGAATAAGAGGAACATAAATCAAACTTTTTGTTCGCGATTGGTATCAATGCCTTGATCACGTCACTGCGCTTGCGAACCACCGTTGTCTTTTAAAAATGAGGTACATTTAATTTCTTCTTCTTCTTTTATTTATGGCTTTTTGCTTACATTTAATTTCAAAAATATTATTCTCCCAATTCGGACAGAAAAATGGCAACATCGGAAAAAATACCAGTAAAGGCACTCTCACACATTTTTGGCTGCCTGTCTGCCTGCATGTTACCATGGCAACGCATGAGAGTGAGTGCGACAGAAAATTTGAATATTCAAATTTTTAAATTTTCTGTCGCACTCACTCTCATGCGTTGCCATGGTAACCTGCAGGCAGCCAAAAAGGTGAGAGAGTGCCTTTATCCTGAGTTTGCGTAGTACTGAAATTTACCGTCTGGGGCAGCACCTGACGGCTACAAAAAAATTTCTCATTTTACATCCTGACATCGTTTATCGTAATGAATTTTCAATTTCTTGTGCGTAAATGAAAGTACAACATATAACTGGTATTTTTTTCGATTTTTTCGTATTTCTATCCGAGTTGAAAGAAAAATTCTTTATAAATTAAATGCACCTACGAGGAGCCAATTTTTGAAAGACAACCACTGCATGTCATTGCGGAACACCATTAAGGGAGCGTTCAAAAATTACGTAACATTTTTTGGGGGAGGGGGGGTCAAGCACTTTGTTACGGACAGCAGAAAAAATGGCGCTAATGTATGCAATAACGTGTTACATGGGGCGGGGGGGGGGGGGGGTCAAAATAAAAAAAAACGTTACGTAATTTGTAAACGCTCCCTAAGGCCAACGCACAATAGCTTCGCGAAAGTCGTTCGCGAACGAGATGCATGAGATAGAAAAGAATACGAATATGTATTAATTCGATGTCCTTTTCTAACACACGTTTCACGTTCGCGAACGTCTTTTGCGAAACTATTCTGCTTAGGCCTTTAATCTTTCTTCAAAATCATTTAGGGAGCATTTACACCTTCGGCAAAAAAATTTCTTCACTTTGCATTTTCCGAAATACACTTATCTGATTGGTTGTCCAAAATCTGATTCATTGTGGACAACCAATCAGGTAATTGTATTTTGGAAAATGCAAAGTGAAGAAAATTTTTTGCCGAAGTTGTAAAGGCTCCCTTGAAACTTTAAATTAACAAAATGTTTGTATATAACCTAAAATTTATTTTTCACAATTTTTAATTTTTATTTAACTCTATTATTATGTGCCCTAATTTTAAAATAGTACAAATTGTAATTGAAATCAATTTTTTTTTAATGTAAAGGTGGTTCCACAATAACTTGCTTAAGGTTTTGCTTTGCATTTGACTTGCTTTGTTCAAAAAGGTGCGCGCACAACAGTTTCCAGAATTATTAAAGACTTCTTAACTGCCTCTTAATAAAATTTAATTAAAAAAACCAATTAATTGGTAATTTATTTATTTTCGGCAACTGGAAACAGTTGTGCGCGCACTAACGAAGTCTAGTGCAAAGCAAAAGCTTAAGCAAGCTGTTGTGGAACCACCTTAAGGTCAGATGTCCGTTAGGTCTGTAATGTTAATTTGTCCGTAATTATTCTCGTAAAATTCTGAATGGATAGACCTTTTCATGCCATTGAAAATAATTAATTGTATCCAACATAACCTCCAAAAAATTTTTTTTCTCTGACCCTAATAAAAATTCAAGAGGGTTTTTAATTATAAAAAAATTAAGGGAAGGGACCGCTGAAATTTCAACTTTTCGAAATTAAGGCTGTTTTAAGGCTATTGTCAATTTTTTTTCCCCGACAATATTTGAGTATTTAAAACTGTAATATACTATATGCACCGAGAAAAAAGATTTCTTTGATTCAAAGAAATCAATTTCTTTGACAAATTTTTCTTTGATTCAAAGAAAATTTATTTGTATTCAAACAAATTATCTTTGATTCAAAAAAAAAATTATCTTAGTTTTGCAAAGAAATTTGTTATTTAATTCAAATAAATGTTTCTTTGACCCTATATCAATGTTAGAATTTTTTCGATTTAATGCATCAAATATCTTTCATTCAAAGAAAATTTTTTTTTAATGAAAGAAGCTCTTTTTGTTTTAAAGAAAATTTTATTTTGAATTAAAGAAAACAAGTCAAAGAAACTGGTTTATTAAGATCAAAGAAACTGGTTTATTAAAATCAAAGAAATCTTTTCTCTATGTGTGGGAAATTGAAAAACAAATCATTAATAATTTTTTAAATAAAACTCGAAATTTTAAAAAACTAAAAATTTAAACTTCTATCGCAATTTTTATTATTTTTCACTGTAGATTTTTTTATACACTTTTTTTATGATTCTAAACAATCAATCGTATGGATTTTTAAAAATTTTAATATTTTCGAAAAATAAAATCAACTTATTGGGTTTAAAAAGAAATTTTCAAAAACGACATTTTTTATATATAAATTTATTTATAACTTACATAACTTATTGTATTACTAAACATAAAATAACTCTATTTTTAAATAACAATAATTATATAAACGAATAATTCTATAATTCGTTCTATAGTCTTTTGATATAATACAATAAGTAAAAAAAAAAAATTACATTTTTGAAACAATAATTCAATTATAAATTTTCTCTGCTCTATTAATCTTATTCACGAAATGTTAAACATAACTTCTGTCTACAATTATTGTCATAATCGTCATCATCATAATTATTATTTTTTTCAAAATCTGGCATTTTATCAATTAATTGTATTAAATTTGGAAATTCTTTAATCAACTCTGTAAATTCATTTGTATTTTTAATTATATTTAAATCAGTATTCAAACGTTCTAAACATTTATTTTTCAATTTATAAATTGATTTTAAATTAGCAAATTTTAATGTAATTAATATTGTCTCTGTTGTTAGATTTTTAATTAAACTATCAATGCACATTGATTGTAATTTTTTTAACTGATATTTTTCAGCAGCAATATATAATTGTAGGGGATTTTCATTTAATTTCTCAACACTGTCAGTGTAAATAAAACAAAGTAATTTTTCAAAAATTATTGGCGTAACATCAGTTATATTAATAATTGCAGAGAATTTTTCAAATCTTTTATTTCTATTTTTAAACATTAATTTAAATGTTGGACTTCGAAATGCAAGTATTGCTTTATGTGCTGTAAAAATTTTTCTACCTATTCTAAATATAACATCTTTAAAATCTTCATCTCTATACAATGTATTGATATTGTTTACCAAATTATTGGAATTTGAAAAATTAGATGACAATTTATTTTCCACAATTGACATTCCTGAATCAAATACATTAAGTTCACATGTTACTTGTATGGAATTTGGTATATTTTTGCCAAGTGCATTATATAAATCAGATGCTTTTATTGTCCAATAACGTGTGAGATTTTGTTTATAATAATGTGTTACTAATTTTGCAACTGCTTCGGTTAAATTGAAAAATGTTATTTTTACATTAACATGCCTTTGATAATCATCGGTGACAATTAAACGTACTTTAAATAATTCTTTACTGTCTTCTTTTAATTCGGTTGGTTCCAATTGTAAAAACCATTGAACATTTTTTACATCTTTTGATGGAAATCTCGGTGATTCAATAATTTTTACATATTTACAAATAAATTCAAAATTTTCAATTGTCCATGTGAGTTTAAAATTATTAATTTTTAATTTTGTTGTAAATGATTGTTCATCATCGACTTTTTCAGACATTGAAATATTATTCATTTCCTGTGACATCATTTTTGCCTGCAACATTTTTTTTTTTTTTTTTATAAAAACTATTTAATTATTAATTTTATTTCATCTTTTTTTTTAGTATTTATTAATATTAGATTTGTCAGATTTAATTCAATAATAATAAAAATAATAATAATAATTATTATTATTATATGTAGCAAAATTCAAAATTTTCATAAAATAGAATTTTTTTTAATCGAATTTTTTTTTATAGAAAAAAAATTTTTAAGGAGGTTCAACCCATTAACATAACCTCAAACTAAAAAGTAGTTTTTAGACAGAATTAAAAATATATTTAAAATTTATTACACCCAAATAATACAGATCCAATTGTACAATTTTGGAAAAAAATTATTTTTAGTTAAAATTTGTTGTTAAATAATAATTAATAAACATTTTGTATTTTTTCTTAAAATAGTTATTAGTGAACAATTCTAATTTTTATCCAATTTTTATAAATAATTGCTCATTTTTCTCTTTGAAAGATTCTCTACAATTCTGATTTTGTGTTTTTGTTTGTTTTTAAAAAAAATAAAAATTTTATTTGTTTATTAACTTTTGAACAAAATCTTTTTTATAAAATTCAACAAACAGAATTGTAGAAAATCTTTTAAAGAGAAAAATGAGCAATCGTTTATAAAAATTGCATAAAAATTACAATTGTTCACTATAACTTTTATAAGAAACAATACAAAATGTTTATTAATTATTATTTAACAAGAAATTTTAACTAAAAATAATTTTTTTTCCAAAATTGTACAATTGGATCTGTATTATTTGGGTGTAATAAATTTTAAATATATTTTTAGTTCTGTTAAAAACTACTTTTTAGTTTGAGGTTATGTTAATGGTAATTAACATAATAATAATAATGATAATTTTTTGATTATTGATTTTAAAATTAATGTTTAAATATTTCGGTTGAGTATTTGTTACAAACAAATAAAAATTTACGGGGTTTATTTTAATAATTCTATGAAATGACAATTTGGACAAATGATCGCGAAAAAATACTTTAACAAACATAACCTTATTATTTTTATATATATACGATATATATAGATATATAATAGTATAAATTTTATATACAGAACCGAAATAAATAAAAAATAAAATAGTCTATAACATAAAAAATAAACATTTACTCACTTCCGATTCTCTCTGTACATTAAATAGTATTAATCCTATGAAATTTTTATTCTTCACATTAGAATATTTAACATTTCCAAATGGGGGTTTTTTTTTTAAACAACAAATATTATTTGTTTTCAAAAAACATTTCTTTTCTTTCGCTATTATCGTCGTTTTTTAATTGTGACTATACGAATCAGAATTATAGGAAAAAAGAAAATATTGAGTTTTTTTTTCGAAAACAAAAGATTTTCAGGTAAGGTTATGTTTAAGTTTATCTTTTTTTTCTCTAAAAACAAAAAATACATGACATGAAAAAGTCGAATGAAAATTGTCCTAAACTCTTGAAATAAAGGTTGATTTCCATTGTCCCCACTCGCCATTTGTCATAATTCTGGTCAACTACCGCACCCTGCTCTAGTAAAAATTTAGTAACTTAATTGTTAAAATTAAAAGTTACTAAATTTTCACTAGAGCAGTGTGCGGTAGTTAACGAGAATTATGACAAATGGCGAGTGGGGACAATGGAAATCAATCTTATTCCAATATTGTAAAGGTGCTTTTATACCTCCAGTATTTTGGTCAAGCAATCGGCTGGATTGGATTTTCACGATTGTATCACTGAATTTTATTGGCTTCGACAAATATTCCATTTCCACTGTAAAAATTGAATACTGTTAGAGCCAATCAAATTCAGTGATATAACCGTGAAAATTCAATCCATCCGATTGCTTCACCAAAATAATGGAGGTATAAAAACACCTTTATAGTTATCTATACAATATTCAACGTTTTAGGATCATCAAACCTGAGATAATCTTTGAATATGAATAACTGTTATTTAAATAGAACTTTAATTTTCGATCTGACGTTATATTTTTTTATGTTTTTAAGGTAGTATTACACTTTAGAAGCAGAAAAAATGGATTCAAACAAAAATTTTTTTCTCGTTAATTACTTTATTTATAAAGAAAAGAAACCTTCTGTACAATATTAAGGCCAGGTCCAAGTCGAGTCAGCTGTTCCTTTGAAGTTTCAATGGAACAGCTGAAACGACTTTTGGACCTGGCCTTAAGGACAAATGGTTCTTCAAGAAAAAATAAAAAAAAAATTTTTTTATTGGATCTTTCTGGTCACCAGAGGGCACTGAAGTCAAGGTCAAAAAAAAAATTTGGTCAATCGGCGGACAAGCTGCAGCCTCTTAGGGGCATCGGATTTAAAAACAAAAAAAAAAGCGTTTTAAAACTGAGACACATGATTGAGCATTGTGCCTTGCCCGATAAAAAATATTTAAAAATGACAAAATGGCAGCGAATTCAAAAAATTTTGCAAAAAAAAGGGGTTTTTTTGGGCAGTTTTTAGGTCGTAGCTAAAAACCAATAAGGAATAGATAATCGGTTTTAGGCATAATGCCTGCAGGCTTTAATTACGAAGAAAATGATATTTTTTTCTTTTTTTTTTTGGATAAATAGAACCCGAGTTATGCTGTATGCCAGTTTAAAAAACATCGTTTCGAGAAAAACGCATTTAAAGTTTTAACTCCCAAATGTACAAATTTTTATCAATGTTTGGCATAGTATTTTCACAATTAAACTCTATAAAAAAATTTTGTAAATTTTTAAGTAAACAAATTATACTTGTTTCTTTAGATAAAAAAAACGCAAAACTGGCGCTGTGTGCGTGAATACACTGCGCTGTATTTTATTTCGTAACTTTTTTATTTCGTCGAATTTTGATTTAATATTTTGGGATTATATTTCCAAGATGATTTGAAACAGAAAAATGCAAAAAAATCGATTTTTTTACGGTTAACTTGAGCATACTTATAACTCGAGTATAAATTTAGGTAAAATATAAACTAAATATAGGTTAAAAAATACGTTTTAATGTAAGAAATATATATATTTTTTTAAAACAAATTTGTGATCTTTCCCAAAATGGAGAAATGAATTATCTCCAAAGGGCGCCAATATCTGACGAATGACACTTACACATACTACCCAAGTGCAAAAAGACCTACACTAGGGATTATGTCCCGGGACGCATCCATAATCTAAACTTAAACTCTCACAAACAGCAATCAGATATATAATAATTATTTAAATTTAATTTTTCAAATTCCAAAAAAAATTTCATAATGCCTAATACAAATCATAATTTAGAAATTATGTTTTAAAAAAGTTTTTAATAATTTCTTCCTATTTTTGGTAATTAATTTTTAATATAGAAGGTATATTTGAGAAATAAAACATTTCAAATTATGTCGTTAAGTTCGTGGAAAGACTTACCATACCGAACGGGGATTCCCTCGACGGAGTAATATGGCAGCATGGCCTCTTCTGAACCAGTCCGTCAGTGGTCCCTCTTCAATGCGAGGAGATCGGGGAACTATGCCATAGGGGCCATGCTTTCTCTGTACGAAATTTTATTTAATTTTTACTACGATCGCGATTTAAAATATTACGAACACTCCCGATACAAAAAAAATATTTTAATTAAAATTATAACTAAATATAAAAATTAATTCACAGAAAAATTAATAAATCACTCGATCGCGGGTTTAAGAAATACGTGCACTCCCGAATGATAAAAATTCAATTATGTAAAAATAAAAAATTTAAAGATTTCACAAATACGACGCACGAAGGTACTTTTCGAAAATTTATACTAATATAATTGACCGACGCTTCCGACATGTTCTCCCACCCTTGAAAAATTGAAGAAAGATACAAATTTTGTAATCACGTGATCGTAATAAAATTAGACGCGCTAGGATAATTTCGAATTTTCCTCCAATCAGATGACGAAAGAGATTGTTCCCCCTCGCCATTTATCATAATATTCGTTAACTACCGCATCCTGCTCTAGTAAAAATTTAGTGATTTTATTGTTAAAATTAAAAGTTACTATAAAGTCACTAAATTTTTACTAGAACAGGGTGCGGTAGTTGAAGAGAATTATGACAAATGGCGAGCAACTTTCCGAAATAATATTCGCGGGATAATAAGAATGATATTGAAATTATAATTAATACTTACAATTATTTTTCAATTTATATTTTATTAGAATAATCTTTACCTTATAATTTATACATTATTCCTTGAAATATCTACATTATATATAAAATATCATTTTTTACGTGAACATTTTTTTAAAGTGTACATTTTAAAGAAGTGAATTTGATTGCACCATTTTGTAAAATATAAGTGTTAAATATTTGATCCTTTAAAAAAATATTTTTTAATTAATTATTTAAAAAAAAAATTATACAATATATTTTATTTTATATATTTCAAAATTCCTTATATTATACTTACATAATTTATAGAAAGAAGCAGCTCGTAAAATATAAATATTTTTTTTATTACTTTATAAAAATATTTGGAAAATTCTAATTCATGAGCGTATCGATATAAACATAGTGAGATAAGAAACAGCAGTCCTTAATAACTTGAAAAAAAAATTTTTTTTTAAATATTTTAAAATTTATTAATTAATTTGGAATATGCTTTGAAGTAATAAAAATAAATTATTGTAAAATATAAACTTACAGCAGAGAAAGTAATCATATTAACGACGTATATTTTGCCAGCTGTTACTTTGCATGGTATATGTCCTCTCATCGAAATCATTAATAATAATTTTCTCACTCTTATGGGCATTTGATACCAGGAAGCATCATATCTTAAATTTTTAAAATATCAATTTTTTTTTTAAATTGTTATAATTGTTATTTTTTTAAACTATGTGGATTTTATATATGTCTAGGACAAGTTTAATTATTTTAAATAAAATTAAACTGTTTCCAGTAACGAACTGTAGAACTTTCAGTTTTTCTTAATTAAATTAAAATTAAAGATTATTAATAATTTTAAATAAAAAAAATTCACGAAATGAAGTTCAAGTGGTACCTAACAATCTGTAAAAATTTTGGAATAAATAACTTTATTCTGCTTTTCAAAAAAATAAAAAATTCGAGAAAATTGTTTTCTTCCACAATAATCTTAATTCTTTATTATCCGCTAAATATATTATTTTCAATATAATTTAATAAAAAGAAACAACATACGCATTTTGTACAACATCATAACTGCAATCAAGTAATTTTTGACCAGGTAAAGTGAGAATAAAAAGATGAACCATTATTCCAACAGCAGAAACGCTGAATCGAATTGTTTTATCCAATTCGCCCAAGGAAATTAAGGCCTAATTTAATTTATTTACATTTACATATGTGCTGAAATTAATTTAATATTTAACATTTAAATATTGATCATTTACAATAATTTTACCTGAAATCCAATGGAACTTGCTGATAATGTATAGAATCCTACGGAAAAAAATAAAACAGGAGAGAAAAAATCCTCCAATGCATTTGCAAAGCTAATTAAAATATTATTAATAATTGAATTTATCACTTGGTTGTCTTATATAGTTAAAGGATGAAAATTGAGTAAAACGATCACTCTAAGTCAAGTTTTTAAAAAAATTAAAACAATTTCTTTACGTTTCGACAGCGCAGCTGTCCTCTTCAGAAACTACAAATTTTATTAAGGCCATGTCCAAGTGAGGCAGCGCCATCTACATTAAACTAAAATTTTGTTAAATTTTCAACAGTCTTTTCTTAAAAACAAGAAGGTAAAATGCTTTTTCCTTTATGGATAATTGATTATTGGCAAGATATACACCAGCTAAAACTTTTTTTGAGTTAAAATAATAAAAAAAATTTCATGTCAATAAATTAAATATGAGCACTTTTTTCACAAAAACTGTAACAGTACTTTCTCAGAAATTACAATCAAAAATGCAATTTCCATTTGGAAAATTAATAAACGCTAAAAAATACACGACCTAAGATTTTACCATCAATTTACCAATTGTTTTTCATTTTAACAAAAATATTTTACAGATTCTTAAATAAAAAAATTTTTTTTTAATAATAATCCTTTTCTAAGGGTTAAAGTTGAAATTTTTAGAAATAATTAAATTTAAAAAGATATTGTTAATTTTCAAGCAATTATTAAATTTTACAGAACTAAAAATAATTTATCAAACAATTTTTGGAAAACATTTTTTAAATTTAATTGAATTTTCAAAGATTTAAAATTGAGATTTTTGAAATTAATTGAAACTTTAAGTGTTTTGTAATTAAAATTTTAGATGATTTCACTAAAAATTTATTAGAAAATGCGGACAAAATACAATAATTTGAAAATCATTTTTAATTGAAAAATAGTTTCAGATAGTTGAATTTTTAAAGAATATTATTGAAACAGTTAAAAATAATTGAATTTCCTTAGAGTTATAATTAAAATTATTAAATTTAAAAAAAAAATTTTCGATGGAAAATTGTAGAAATAATTAAATTTTAGATGCTTTTAAATTCAAATTATTGAAAATTCAATTAATTTTGAATTCAAATTTTTGAGAATAATGAAATTTTATTTGATTTTAAATTTGGAAAATAATTGAATTTCAGTTCTTTTTGAATTGAAAATTTTGGGAAATAATTGAATTTTAATTGAAATTTTGGATAATAATTTAATTTAAGTTCATTTTTGATTGAAAATTTGGATAATTAATTTTGAATAGAAATTTTAGAAAATAATTGAATTTTATTTAATTTTAAATTGAAAACTTAGTAAATAATTAAATTTTAAATTGAAAATTGTGGATAATTATTGGATTTTTAATTGATTTTGAATTAAAATTTCGGATAATAATTGAATTTTAGTTTATTTTGAATTGAAATTTTTAAAAAATAATTAAATTTTATTGTGATATTTTTTTTAAATTATAAACAATTGTTAAATTTCATAAAAATTTTAATTGAAAAAATAATTTTGATATAATTGAATTCTGCCGTGTTTTCTAAAAACTTAGGTAACTGCAAAAAAATCGAAAAATGAGTTTCTTATATCGTTGGAATCGTGGAAAAAAGATACACCTGTTAATGCAAATTATTTTTAAAAATTGTTAATATTATTAATAATAATTTTTGCATAAATAATTGAAAATACCGGTAACTGCAAAAATTGATGAGTGATAATTTGAGAAACTTAGGTAACTGCTATAAAAACTTGGGTGTCTTTGGGTGTTGTGACGTATTTTGTAGGTCGTGATTTGAAGAACTTAGGTAACTGCACCAGTGCCTAAGTTTCTCAAAACACGGACCTCATTTTTCGAGCCCTCGTCGCATGGAAAACTTAGGTAACTACAGAGTGCTATCAGAGCACTGTAGTTACCTAAGTTTTCTATGCGACGAGGCCTCGAAAAAGGAGGTCCGTGTTTTGAAGGACCAAGTAACTGCAAAATCTTATACATTTCTTTAAAATTACAATGTTTTTTGTGCAATTAATAATTTATAATGACAATAAATAATGAAATAAAAAACTCTAAATAATAATTTATCAAATATTGAAAAATTAAGTATTAATTTTAATAAATAACATAAAAGCATTAATAAATTAAGAAAATGAAGTTCAGTAATATGTTTATTTCATGATTAATATATAATTAATTTAGTTCAATTATTTAAAAAATTAAAATCGTTTTTAATTATTTAAATAAACGTTAATAAAGCAGCGAACTACATTACCTACAATAATTTGACTTTAATATTGTATAATTAAAATAAATTCAATCATATAGTTTAATATTTGTAAAAAATAATAATTATAATGATAACTTTCGCATCTTACTAAATAATTACACTTTATTATTTATTATTTTTTTAAATTTATTTTTATATTATTTTTATTTTATTTATGTATTTTATTTTATATTATTATTAAATATATTCTGAGTTAATACAATATTTGACTCTAATATTGTATAATTAAAATAAATTTAACCATAAAATTAAATATTTGTAAAAAACAATAATTATAGTGACAACTTTCGCAGCTTATTAAATAATTATAGTTTATTATTTAATATATTTTTACTATTTTTTGCCCAGAAAGATGAAAATTCTTATATATTCCCTGCAGTTACCTAAGTTTTCTGTGCGACGAGAGGCCTAATACGGGCGCTCGTAGCACGAGGGACCAAGTAACTACCAGTTACCTAAGTTTCTCGTGCGACGACCCTCGAATCAGCATACCGGTAACTACATTTTTAATAATTTATTGAATGTTTAAACAAATACAACATTTATTTTTACATAATTAAAAAGAATAAATTTAGACGAATCGAAGGAACAAAACGGCATTTAAAATTTTTAATTAGGCTTTGCGGTATACATATCAATGAAGTTTAAACAGTTTTTCGCGTTTTTCTCGAAATCTTTCATTCTGCAGTTACCTAAGTTTTTAGAAAACACGGCAGAATTTGTGATGTATTTCATTAAAATTATTAAAAATAATTAATTTAGTGAAGAATCATTTTAGTTCAAAATTTGTTAAATAATTGAATTGAAGAAGATCTGAAGAAGATCTACATTTTATACTAAAAAAAGGTATTTTATTTACATTTTTTTTCAAATGTAAAAATAATGTCGCATTTTATTAAAATAAGTCGATAAAAGTCGTATTTTTGAAAAAAGTCGGAAAAAGTCGTATAATCTGAGGCCTGTAAACATATAATTTTCATTATTATCATTTAATATGTAATAATATTCTAATAAATTAAATTATTATTGATAATATTAATCTTTTAATTTCTTTATAACAAACAATGAAGCACTCAATTTGGTTTTATTTATTTTTTTTTAAACTTGACTCGGAGTAATCGTTTTACTCAATTTTCATCCTTTATTATAATAAATATATTTGAAGATATACAAAAATTAATAATTAACATTCTATCACTTACTCAATGTACGACGAATGAAGTTTAACTGTTAAGGACATTATTTCATAAAGCTCAATCTCTGCTTCTTTATCATTTTTAAATTTGTTGTTCTCGATAAAATTTATTGCATTTTTAAATCTATAACTTTAAAAAAGAATAAAAATACTGTTAGTATTATAGCAATTAAAAAAAATTAAATATTTAGTTTAGAAATTAATACCTAATTATTGCAAACAAGGCACAAGCATGATGTGTAAAAATAGCATACATTGCCTCGGAGCTCTCAAGAAATATAACAATAATTGAACCCGTTATACAACCATGAATTATAATAAAATAAAAATATTTTTCATGATCAAACCAAAATGTCACGGGATATACAAATTGCTTTGGACGTGATTCATTTAATGGAATTATATAGTCTAAAATTATTGGACTAAATGGAACACCAACAAATACAACTAATATTGCTAATACATGTCCTAAAACCAAATAAAACATTATTTAAATATAAAATTTTGAAGTACCTATATATTTATAAATAAATAAATAAAGTAACCTGCAAAAAATAACATAAAAATTGTGTTACTTTCGCCATAAGCACAGAGAATTTCATGTTCATTAGTTTGGTCTGTCCATGTTTTCCAATCATTTCGAATCGATACTATGAAATTCTTGACCTGTTAATTAGATTCAAAAATTTATTGTGCTTTTATATGAAAAATTTTTTGTAGCTCTATTTAACGAAGTAATTTTATATCGATTAACTTTTTGAATAGTAAGAAATTTAATTTAGAATTATTACTTTTTCAGTATTGATGCGATGAATTATAAGTTGAGCAGTGCTCATGAGCATAACAAAAAATGGTGTTAGAATATCGAGAATTTCATCTAAGTTTCTACTACATATACGTTGATATAAACAATAAATCTATTCAAAAGAGTGTGTATTAGAATTTTAATTACAAAGATTAAGGAGGCTATAGGGATAATAGATCTGATATTACCAATTTAATGAAACTTGGTCCACTACCAGATAAAGCCCTGGCGGATTCGATTTGCGTAATGTCTACTTAACTAAGTGGACTTTAGGTAGACATTAGGTAAACATGTAAAAAAACGTAAAGAAAAGCTATTAATCGACTTATTATGATAAAAAAAAGTTGATAAAAGGGTAAATGAATGTTTATAGAGTAAATTCGTACAAAATTTGTAATTAATAAAGCATTAAATAATTAATAATGAATGGAAATGTGCGCGAGGTACCTGATCAGTTAAGCTGTACACATGAAGTAGGATAAGGAGAGGTAACGCCTGTAGCCAATCGCTAGAAAACTTGACACCATATAGGGGGGACCACAGTAGTACGACTTTCTATTTTCCTACTGTTGACAGCGCTTGCGGTGGGAAATATTTGAATTATATTTTATCACGTGACCTACCGCGAAAAGAGAAACATAACCTGAATGTTTCACATGGTGTTTTTGTTGTTAAAATTCAGTCGTTTGTTTTACACATGAAGTATTTCAGTAATGTGTTAGTGTTTTGAAAAATGAAGAGTTGTTTTATAAAGCATTGCGATTCGGGTTCGAAAACCCAAATAAAAAGAGATGGTTGTGTTCGAAGTTTTTTTAAACCTTCCATGGTAAGTAGAATGAAATTGTTTATTATTTTTTTATTACTCATGATATTATTATGTAAATAATAAATAATGTTAATTATATTTCTTATTTCGATAGAAAATGTTAGCAACATGGTCAGAGGCTATTCGAAGATTTGACAAAACTATGAATGTAACTCATAAGCTGAATAATAAATTCCAGTGTCAATATTAAACTATTATTTGATTTTTAAAATATTTCTGACATTTTACAGTTAATGTATTTGCATAATACCTTCATATTCATTAACTTAACCTAACGTTGTAAACAGCTGACTTGCAGCCATGTTGCAGACGATAAATTTTAATTCTTCGCTTTCCCCAAAGGAGCGCTCGCGACATTAGGAAAAAAGAAAGCCTACTACTGTGGTCCGTCTATCTGAGGGCCAATGAATATACGCCGTTACCTCTCCTTATCCTACTTCATGGCTGTACAATTATTTTCGTGCTATTTTCATGAAAAGAATATAAATTAACGGCAAAAACAATTGATTTTTATAAAAAAGTGTAAAATTGATTTAATTTGAGTGTTTGCAATACGAATTATTAAATAATAATTAAGTTTTTATCAAATGTGAATAGTGTTGTGAAAACCTGTGAAAACTAATGAGTTACTACATTACCGATCGCATATGATAATAAAAAGTTCTCGATGAGTGTAACAAAAAAGCTGCAATCATGTCCGTAATTTTGGACAAGAAACAATTATGAAATCAATAATTATTTGTATAACTTTATTCTGCATTTTAAAATTCACTTTTTATTTTCTTTCAAAGCAAAAGCTTGGAAGAAAACATGCTCGCACTGTATTGTAAGAACTGGTGGCGCCATCTCTGGCATTCCCGGAAATTATGTACTTGGTTAAATTGGAGCTTTTTTGTTACACTCATCGAGAACTTTTTATTATCATATGCGATCGGTAATGTAGTAACTCATTAGTTTTCACAGGTTTTTACAACACTATTCACATTTGATAAAAACTTAATTATTATTTAATAATTCGTATTGCAAACACTCAAATTAAATCAATTTTACACTTTTTTATAAATATCAATTGTTTTTGCCGTTAATTTATATTCTTTTCATGAAAATAGCACGAAAATAATTGTACAGCTGAACTGATCAGGTACCACGCGCACATTTCCATTCATTATTAATTATTAAATGCTTTATTAATTACAAATTTTGTACGAATTTACTCTATAAACATTCATTTACCCTTTTATCAACTTTTTTTTTATCATAATAAGTCGATTAATAGCTTTTCTATACGTTTTTTTACATGTTTACCTAATGTCTACCTAACGTCCACTTAGTTAAGTAGACATTACGCAAATCGAATCCGCCAGGGTAGGTTTCAAAAAAATGTTGTTAAATTTTTGAGACCTCTAGGTACTTGTGAAAAAAGTTATGAGTGTTTTTGTTTTTTAACATTTAACATTGAGTCTTATGGGAATTGAGTACTTTCTCATACATATTTGTTCACCACAAATTACCTGATATTAAGAAATTGATGAAACTTTTTTTAATACAAAACAGATATATAATGATTAAATATCCGTTTAAAAAAGGGTCATTAGGTTCTTGTGAGAGTTGCAATAAATTAATTTGTAACAATATTTCACGTTTTATACGTTAAATTGAACAGCTGTCAGAACGTCTGGCAACGTTGCACACTTGATCATGCATATTATACGTTAATTTTGCGCGCTAACTTTTAAAATGTTGATTCTAATAGCACGTATAAAATACGCTATATTTAAAAAGAAAATAAAAGTTAATAAATAAAATTGATTATATATTTTTTAAAATTAAATTAAAGTTAATTAAATAGAGGGATAATTGTTTTATTAAAGTAAACAACTCATATAGCAACCATTTGCAACTCGACTGACGTAATGTGGTGTTGCCAGACGTTTCACAGTACCGAGAAAGTCAAATCATAAAATAATGGTTTCTGTTTTGATTTATTCAGTCAATCCCTATAACCTCCTTAAGTTATATTAAAAATTCTGAATAGAGATGTCTAATGTTTAATATATATATATATATAGGTTTGGTGAGAGGTTAAATAGATTTGAATTTTGTCTGGTCAGTTGACTTTATATCGACAGATTCGATGATTACTATTTGTTCGTGATTTTGTGTATTGTAAAGTTAACCTCAAAAAAAGTTTCAAGTTGCTATCCACTTTTATTCATTAAAGCAAACATGAAACGTTAACTAATTAACTGCAATATTTTGTTTCAAATAAAACTTGAGTAAAACCTGATCAAATTTTCTTCAAGTTTCATTGAGCTAATCCGCTAAAGAGAACGTAATACATTTTTCTCTTAGCAATTATTAGATACTAAAAGATATATTCGGAAATTTTCCCAATGAAATGTACCTCTCACATTAGACATCTCTAATTTTTGAAATTACTCAGAAGATTAAAAATATTAACAACATTTATATACCTGAGGTCCCATGCCAGTAACAAGTGAAAAACATACAACACTTTGGACAATTTTTTGAATATTTTCAGCAAATGGCCATGTTCCTGTAAAAATAGACACCTGTTTCATAATCTTGTAATATCGATTATCAAATATATCCACATCTTGCGAATTGATTTTTGTGTAATATAAACTCATTTTTGTGCCCTTATGTTGAAATCATTTTATAATGAATAATAATTAAAAATATTATTGTATTATTGCAGCTCTCTAAAAAATGGAATTGTATTTTTACTTCCCTCAAAAGATTTGTTAACTTATTCTCCTTTTCATAATAAAGAAAATATCAAGGTAAAAAGGAACTGTAAGAACTGCTTGAAACACGCAACTATTTTTCTTTATTTTTTCAATTCCTTCTAAGATGTATTATAAATTTAAAAGTCTATAACAATGAAATAGCGTTCTGTTAGAGAGTTTAAAAATTAGTTTGCAAAACTGCTTTGCACTTTTTTAAAAAAAAATATATATCGTTTTACGTGAGGTAAATTTATTATGTAAAAGATTAGGAAAATAGCTTTTTTTCCTATCTAACACTCCTCTCACCTTTTACATCCCTTGATAAAGAATTCCGTAAAAAAAAGAATCAAAAGTCTATATCCATAAGAGGATACAGTGTTCGGATATCAGATCGATTCGTAATTATAGTTTGTAATGTTCTTCCTTACTTTTTTTTTTCTATTTTATAATGATTCGCGTTGCGTGAAGTTAATAAAATATTTATTAGCTAAGACACTGTTACGAAAAAACAAGAAACTAAAATATAAAAGCTATCTAGAAATTTTCTCACCTTTCTTTTCAAACCCCTTGATAAAGAATTCCGTTAAAAATTCAAAAGCCTATAAGATACAGTGTTCGCAAATCGGAGTGATTGTAATATTTTTTTTTTATTTTATAACTGTTCGCATTGCGTGTAGTTAATAAAATATGTATTAAATAAGAATACTGTTTTGTGGGGGAAAAAGCAGGTATACCTTGAAACTGAATTTTCTTTTATACATATTCTCATCACAAAATTGAACAAAATATTCCTCGAATAAAGGCTATTCTAAATAGATTGATATTTTATTCAATGCGATATCTATACATGTCGGAAATGTTTGTGAAATATGAAAAAAAAAATAATAGAGAAGAATTCTTATTCGCTGAGAAGAAAGGAAATAAAATTTAAAGTTGTGTCACAGAGTAAACAAAAATGGATTAGTGAATGTAACAATTAATAAAAATTATGATTGTACTTACTTTCTGCAGAGAAAATTTGAAATTTTCCATTCTTTTCATACAATTTAAGGGGTTATTGTATACTGATATAATTATTGTAATGTTATATTTATTTTCATATTAATGATTGGAAGGATGCCTATGTCCCCACTCGCGATTTGTTATAATTCTTGGTCAACTACCGCACACTGTTCTATGGAAAATTTAGTGACTTTATAGTAACTTTTAATTTGAACTTGAATTTCACTAAATTTTCACTAGAGCAGAGTGCGGTAGTTTACCGAGAATTATAACAAATTACGAGTCTGGGGACAATGGCATCTCTTCAATTGTATAAAGGTGCTTTTATACCTCCAATATTTTGGTCAAGCAATCGGCTGGATTTGATTTTCACGGATTATCACTGAATTTGATTGACTTTGACAAATATTCCATTTCCACTGTGAAAATTGAATTTTGTTAGATTCAATCAAATTCAGTGATTCTCTGAGAAAATCCAATACAGCCGATTGCTTGACTAAAATACTGGAGGTATATGAAAGAACCTCAAATGTTGTCCTTCGGTTTGGTTCGTTTCTGCATTGTCCCCTCACGCCATTTGTTATAATTCTCAATTGCCGCACCCTGCCTTAGAGAAAATTTAGTGACTTTATTGTTAAAATTAAATTTTACTGTAAAGTCACTAAATTTTCACTAAAGCTGATTGCAGTAGTTGACGAGAATGATGACAAATGGCGAATGGAGACAATCGAAACCAATCGATGCAAATTGTGTCCGTACCCTGACTTTAACTTTTGAATTTATTAGTGCTACCCAACCCTAAAATACATTAGATATCAACCTAACATAACTGTTGGACAGCATCATCATCAACAGAAGAGAATTTGTCATTTCTATTTGAAAAATACTTAATTACATATTGTTAAGGGGGCACTCGCAGTTGTAACTTTCAAAAAATCGATTTTTTTTCTTGCCTTTTTTTTAGAGGTATATGTAGTCAGAAATACGTGTCTAAAAAATTGTAAGATGATAAGGTTAAAATTGAATGAGATATACAGGCTGAAAGAGGCGCGTCAGGTCGGTCGAGAACAGGCTAATGGCCGTGTGGGTCTTTATAATTTTATATTTGAATTGGGATTTTGGAAGCAACTTCATCTCGGTCCGTCTCTGGAAACATCTTTTTAGGGTGTTTTCGACGTTGACACTCTGAGCGCTCTAAGAGCTCGAAAAGGTTCTCAACCACATTTTATTATTTTAGTGTATTTAACCTAACCTAATCCAATGCAATCTTCTCATTACGCTTTCAAGACCGGTGAAGACCACGCTGTTGCATCATGGAGGAAAGAATAATTTTAAATGATTTAGTTTTAAAGAACAATAAAACATTATTCACGAATAATGGTCGCATTTCATGCGACGTAACGAACGTTGATACGAGTAAGTATTAATTTTAATGTAATATTTATATTTTTTATTTATTTATTTTATTTATTTTATTTATTTTATTTATTTTATTTATTTTATTTATTTTATTTATTTTATTTATATTTTAACAAGATTTTGTACAATTCCTATAGCGTTAACGTAATTGACTTCAGGGTTTAAATTTGCCATTTTTGAAAATTTTCCGTTATTTACTTTCGCACTCAGAAAACACGCTCGGTTTATTAAACAAAATTGAGAAACCAGAGCACGAGCACAGCCCGAACGCATCCAATTTCAAATAAAGCATGCAAATAACACACCCTTTTTTGTGCACATCACCTAAAACTGCAGCCCGTATCACAAACATGTCACTATTAGCATGCTTTAGCCAATCATAATAAGTTATGGCTAATCATAATTTTTAATATTGGTTGAGAACCACTTAATACTTTCAGAACACTCAGAGCGTCGACATCGAAAACACCCTTAATAGGACACAATAAAAAATTAGAAAAAATTTAATTTAAAAATACAATTAATTGAGTTCAAGTGCTTTTTATTAATTTCCATATTTGTTCCAATGTCGCTTAAAAGTATGATAAACATTCGGGTTCCATTGAAGTTATATTTGATGTAAATTCCATTTAGAAAGAAAATTACTATCAGAATTTTCAAACGCAACAAGATGTACATATATACAAATGGCTCTATTTTTTATACAAATGTGTCGATTTACAAACTAAGCTGACTTTTACATGCGCTGAGAAAAATATTCATTAAATAATTACCATTTGTTATATTATATATTATTTTTAATTAGTAATAAAATTATTCCTTTGAATAATAGATTACCAATGAATAAAATTTAATTCATCATATTTTCAAAATAGTTTTATAATTCATTATTTAAATCATTATTAATTTGTTATTAATTTATTATTGATTCATTATTAATATATATATAGAGTTCAACGAATAATAAAAAGCAACAATTTTATGTAAATTAAATTTTTTCTCAGTGCAGTTAACATTCTATGTTACAATAAATTAATTAAATAGTTTTTTTTGCCTATTTTCTATTATAATTTTTTTACATCCATTAAGCAGGTAAAACAATATTTTATTTCTCAAACTGCTTTATATTAAACTAACTTTTATGTACATTCTGTACAAAAAATAATACTATGGTGTCCTGTCCTGATAATAAGAGAAAACTAAAAAATACCTCCTATTTTAGTAAAAGAAAAATGTTTCAGCAAAAAGTAATAAAAATCTACAGTACTGTTTAATTTTCTCTTTTTTTTAGACTCAATAAGCCTTAAAAACAGGTTTTGATATGCTTTTTCTATAAAATCCAAATAAACTGATCGTAAATACAGAAAAAAATTTTTTAACAGTACTGTTGATTATCACTTTTTTTAACCAAGTATTCTTATATAACTTAATTTTTTCTTTTTACTATAGTAATTTATGAAATAGTTTTTTAAAGCAAATCTAATTATTGATAAATCAGAAAGGAATGTAATTTTTAAATTCTAATATACAAAAATGTTTTAGAAAAAGTTATTGTTACTAAAAAAAATTCTTGCAAATTAAAAAACCGGTAACCTATTTTTTTGTTCAAAGATTTTGTTACATTTGCTAAATTTTTTTTGAAAAAATACGACAGTACATATTTTTCTTGGAATGTTTTAATATTATATATCATTTTCAAGTTTTCACTTACAGTTTATTATTATAATTTTATATATTTAAAGATGATGTTAATTCAAAACATTGATTTTAATTATGTTCAATGAATTTTTCATTTTAAATTGCATTATTTAATCCTAATTTTCATATTTTTGATTTTAATAATCAAAAAAATGTGAATTAGATCATTTGGAATATTTTATCTTGATTAGAACAAAAAAAAGAATAAAATTAAAAGTAAAAATAAAAAAGAAACTTGCTCTAATGTTTCTGGAGTTTGTTCTATGAAAATACAAATTTATATTTTGTCAAATTGATTCTATTAACTATATTATAAATAAATTGATTCAAAAACACTTGCTCACGACATCGAACAAAATAGGAGCCTTTTTTTTGAAGTTATACGCTTCTTTTCTTAGTATTGTCTGTAGATATTTAATTTTTAATATATCACCCTTTTTTTACCATTTCCTTTTTTTTTGGTTCCTTAATTATTTTCCTTTAGAATAACAATTTTATTAAAGAATTTACTTCGAAATTATTTTTGTAAAGTACTTTTTTTTTCTTTCAAATATAAGCCTAAAAATAATTTTAACAAAGTGAATTATTTTAAAACTAATTTGCCGTTATTTCCTTAAGCTTCAACTTAGTGAAATATTTTTGTAATTTTTCTGTTTTTAATTTTTATTTTAAATAATTTGTTCATGTTTTCAAAAATTCTGTTTTCTATTTTTTGAAAATTAATTTTTTACTTCAAATAGAAAATAGATGACAACATAATTTTTTTTCTTTTTGGTAATATGTAAGTACGTTTGCTTACAATTTTCCCAACTACTGTATGGAACTTATAATAATAATTATGTTAGACGCTTTGCGACTATCGAGGGATAAATATTTAATATATTGTCTAAAATGTAAGCCTGGCCCTAAATTTCACGTTTTCACAGCAGTACTTATCGCTAAAGCGTCTTACATTTATGTCCTAAATATTTATATATATGATATTTTTTAAAAATCGAAATTTCTTCTTTTCGATTTTATTAGAGAAAAAGAAATTTTTGAAATTTAATTTTAGAAAGTAGTCCGGTGTTCGGGGTTGAATATCAGTTATTATTCGGTAGACATCTCTACCAGTTATTACTCAAGTATTTTTGTCAGCTACCGCACCCTGCTCTAGTGAAAATTTAGTGACTTTATAGTAACTTTTAATTTTTACTAGAATTTAACTAAATTTTTACTAGAGCAGGGTGCGGTAGTTGACGAGAATTATTTTACCTTAAATATCGCCAGACTTGGCCCAGGCTATCGACAATTTTGAGCCAACCTTGTTGAGAACCTTCCTGTTCCCTTTGCTCGAAACCTTCAGCTTCGTATAGATAAAACAGATTTAATAATAACAAAAAAAAAAATAGAAATATTAAATTTCATTATTTTTTAATCAAAAAAATCCTGAAATAAGCTTCCAAATTAGGCCCGAACACCAAATTACATCCTCAATGAAAACAAAATAATAGCAAATTGTATTTTCTCTACCGATACAAACTCGGTTGGTTCCCATTGTCTCCACTCGCTAAAATCCCCATTTGACATTCTCATTAACTACCGCACCCTGCTTTAGTGAAAATTTAGTAATTTTATAGTAAGTTTAAATTTTAACAATAAAGTTACTAAATTTTTATTAGAGCAGTGTGCGGTAGTTGACGAGAATTATGACAAATGGCAAGTGGTGAAAATTAAAACCAACCACTCTTTAGAAACTCACTAAAAAAATTCTTTAAGAATAAGTTTTCAAGGAGTTTCCAAATAATTGCGTATCAGTGGAGATAATATTTAAATTTAATTTTGAAAATATACACATATGAAATCACTTATTTTTTCAATTTCGTTGTACGCCAAAGATCATTTCGTTTTTATATTGTGCAAAAGAAATCATAATTTCAAACAATCACATATCTAATTATGTGAGAAAAAAAATAAACGTGAGATCATATGAGCACTTTTTCATCTTTCAAAATGTTTTCAAAAAAAAAAAAAAATTCCCAAAACATTGTATTCCACAATAATTTAGTAACTATAACAAAATACACCCATTTGGATAAATGTTGTCCTTACAGTTCGACAAAACTTTGAAAAGTCGTGACACTTCTGTAATAATTTTATTAGTTCGTGGAGTAATCGACAGATTCTAATGTTCCTACTTGTTAAATTTTCCACTTTGTCATAATTCAAGATCAACTACCGCACCCTGCTCTAGTGAAAATTTAGTGACTTTATAGTAACTTTTAATTTTAACTAGAATTTCACTTAATTTTTACTAGAGCAGGCTGCGGTAGTCGACCTAGAATTATATAACTAATTAGTGGGAACTTTAGCATCTTTCCATAACGCCACAAACTAATACAATTATTATAGAAGTATCACGACTTTTTAAAATGGATTAGTTGCCATTTTCTCGACTCAATACCATTTTTTATTTAATATTAATTATTCCACGAACATTATTTCGGAAAGTTGCTATTATCCCCACACGCCATTAATTCTCGCCAACTACCGCACCCTGCTCTAGTGAAAATTTAGTGACTTTTTAGTAATTTTTAATTATAACTAGAATTTGGTTGGTTTCTATTGTTCCCACGCGCGAAAATTCCTACTTGCCATTTGTCATAATTCTCGTCAACTACCGCACTCTGCTCTAGTAAAAATTTTAGTGACTTTATTGTAAAAATTAAAAGTTACTATAAAGTTACTAAATTTTTACTAGAGAAGGGTGCGATAGTTGACGAGAGTTATAACAAATGGCGAGTGGGGACAAAAAAAACCAACCTTTCACTAAATTTTCACTAAGGCAGGGTGCGGTAGTTGACGAGAATTATGATAAATGGCCAGTGGGGTGACAATGACAACCAACCTAATGTCCTCAAACCGGAAGGAGAGCACTCCTTCAAAACTTATTACCTCAATCCGTTCTCAATGATTTTTTTTATTTGAGTTTCTAAAGAGGCTGTATCGGTAGGAATAGGAACAAATTTATTTTTTAAATTAGTTAAAATTAGATAAAATCCATTGACGAAATTAATTATTATTTAGAGGATTCTAGAGCTAAAGGTTAAAGAACTAAAAACCTATTAATCCCTCCTCCTCCCAAGTAAATTTCTACTTTTGTAAGTACATCATTAACGCTTATTGGAAATTTTAAGTGATTGATTTGAACGCCTCCTGGTGGGAAATCAGTGCAACATTGTGAATAGGATTGAAAGCTCCAGACGCTTAGATGATGATAGAGGGTTTTTTTTCATTTCTTTTAAATATCTTTTCAACGATTTCGGATTATATTACGTTGGACCTAAAAATCTAGACACTGGAAATTTTTTTTTTCATTTTTTTTCATTTTTTTTTTTGTTTATTTTAGACCCATGGTAGACATGCGTAAGGAGCACAACTATCGTAGTCATGCACAAAAGGAAGCGAGTGTCTGCCTTTTCGTCAGTGCGGTTTGGAAAATGATTCCACATATGATGTTCTTCTGCCTTGATTTTGGCTGCCAGTTCCACTTTGTTGATGCGGCGATTGTGGCTGCATTTGTTTTTTGTCCGAACCTGCCGCCAAATAGGAGAAGACACATAGGACTGAATAACAGATTTGATCTGCCTGAAAAATTGTCAATAAAAAAAAAAAAAAGAAGGGAAAATATATTTTTTTATTAGGCAATTATTTTCGTTTAGGGCTACTATAGCTATAGAGGGTTTTCTCTCTAAATTGGAAATTAATGAATTTTTGGTGAAATTTTTCGATTTATAAGGGAAAGAAAACTTATACGGTGAAGGGTTTAGTTAGGTAATTTAAAAAAATTCAAAATGGCGGATACAATATGGCGGCTATTTTGAAAAATTGTTCGAAATGCTTTGAAACTCAGTACTCAGGGGTTTTCGGTGTCGCTGATTACGAATTCGATGTTAGTTTTTTAAAATGGATTATGCAATAACAAAAAAATTTTTTTCAAATCATTCCAATTCGTTTAAAATTTGTTACACAGAAATTTTTCGAGTCATTAATTACAAAAATATTGTATTTATAATCAGCAACACTGAAAGCCTTTCGAGTAATGAGTTTCAAGTGAATTGAAACAATTTTTAAATTTTTGACCGCCATTTTGAATTTTGAAAAATTATCATCGGATTCGTATTCAGCGACTATTTCAAGCGAATTTGATCAATTTTTAAAAAACCGTCCGCCATATTGGATCCGCCATTTTGAATTTTGCAAAACTGATCTCAGATTCTAAAAACTATTGGAACGACTGTGGCTTTCTTTTATTTTTCCATTTTTTTCTGGAAAGGGTTAAATAATCTTTTTAACAGTAGTACACATTAAATTTTCAGTTTTACGACTCCTTGGACCATTTTGTTTTCCAGATAGCACAATAATTTTTCTTTTTTTTTTTTGTCGATTTTTTTGCGTTAAGAAGAAAGTTTTTACTTTTCGTTTTGAAAGCACAAACACATTACAATTAAAAATATATATTTTTTATATTTTACTCATTGAAAATATATATTAAAATTCTTTATATAAATCAGTAGAAAAAAAAAATTCAAAAATTCTTTAAGAATCTTTTTTTTTGCATTTTTAGAAGAAAAGAAGTTGAAAGCAACAATCTTTTTCAACCAATTTTGAAATGCTTCAGTTGAAAAAAAACAAATTCAGTAAAAAAGAGATAGACAAAATATAGAAAAATAATATTTTTAGATTTATTTCCATAAAGAAAGTAGGTAATTTAATTTTTTGAAGAAATTAAAAATTTTTAAATTTTTAATCCCTTTTTTAGGAAATTTTTTTGAGAAAAAAATTAACATTTAATAAACATTGAGATTGGAGGAATATAGACAGAAAGAAAAAAATAAAAAGTAGAAAGAATTATAAAATTAATTTTATAATGATAAATAGAATATATGAATGCTGAAATGAAATGAACGAAAAAGAAACCTACAAATAAAGGAGCTTCATGCATCGTTGTTCTCGGCAGTTGCAACGAATTTCCCATCTGCTGAAAGTTGCTCAGCAAGGGCAACAGAGAATACTCTGTGCATGCAGCGAATTGCCTCGCTGGCCTGCTCATGCAAAAATTAAATAATAATATTTAATTTAACATAATATGTGCTTTCAATAAACGATTAAACTTCAATCGTTGCAAAAAATCACAAATTCTTTCTTTTAAAATTTTTTTTCTATAATTAATACCAGTTTTTTTTTTTTTTTAGTGTTAGAACTTAAATTACACTTACCATTTGAGACTTATATTTACGTTGAATTACTTGTCTAGTCTTAGGATCTGAAAAAATTTTAATTTTTGTTATTTAATTTTAATTTAAAAAAAGAAATAGAAAAAATTATTTAAAAAGAATAAAATTTAATGTTAACTTTTTAATTTTTAAACTGCTAGGTATTAAAAAATGACCCTTATTACTTTTCTCGGTCTGTTAGACCGCAAATACAAAACTTAAGTTTCTATATTGTAATTAAAAAAAATAATATTTAGATACCGGTCTGGGAGACCTCTACAGTAGTTTAAGGGATAATTTTTAATTTTACAAATGTAAATCTCTAATATTTTATTGAATTTATATGTAAATATGTAAATTATGGTAAAAAATGTTATATATACTCACTGAATTCTTCCAAAACGAAGATCCCACCCTTCTGAGTAAAGCACTTGCGGATATGATCGAGTCTTACAAAAAACTGAAAATAACAAACAAGAGAATTAATCCTGACAAGTAAATATCATTTTGTGCAATTCAAACAATAAAAAAAAAAAATTGGTGGTGATGGCCAATAGCTAAAAAATTATTATCAACCATGCATTTTTCATGTCTCATAATTATCTACAAGTGTCAGAAATATCTACAAAAAACCTCAATTAAAAAAAAAAAAAAAACTATAAACTCGTGTGCAAGAACTAATTATCGTCCCAAAAACGAAATTGCAGAAATTCGAAATACCTTTTCAACTCGAAAAAAAGAGTGTTCCTTACTACATTTTAAACATTTGTCATTGAAATTAATTTATTTTCAAAAACCCGAAGTATTAGTAATTTTTTTTTTTTTTGAATTAAATAAATTCATTTAAAACTTAAATACAATTATTTTCAGCTTAAAAAACAAATTAATATTCTAATTTTTTAAATTAATTAATAACATTTTTCTATATACAGAAAATTTTTGAAAAAATATAAATTCTCTTTCAGCATTAAGTGTTACGTCATCTTTAGATATACGAGAAAAAATGTTTAAGGACGCCATCTATGGGCGCAAAGCAAAATAATGGGAAATTTATTTTTTCTTTCATCATTTATATAGGTGACTCTCCACGTAGCGCATGATTTTCAATTACAATAATTATTATTGAAACATAATTATAATTTTCTGTTCAAAAACTGTTTTTATAATATAAAATTATAACAATTATTACTTATTAAAAAATTTCAACAACCTTTCAATAGGCCTAAGCAGAATGAAATCTCTAATCGTAAATCTTAAGCTTTTACATGAGAGAGAAAAGGATAAAAGATGTTTCTATCCTTTTCTCTCTCATGTAAAAACTTAAGATTTACGATTAGAGATTTCATTTTGCGTTGGCCCATTTCAAATTTGGTTTACAATCGTAAAATGTTTTTTAGTAGCATTATAATTAAATTATAATATTAAATTAAATAATTTTTTTAAATTAAGAAAATATTAATATTTAAGGAACGCCGTTTTAAAAAAAATTCCTGCAGCGACAGTTTTTTTTTTGTATTAAAATAATAATTTTTTAATTTTCATCAATTTAGATTGAATTATTTAAATTTGTTTTTTTTTAATCGGTTTTCAATAATTAGAATTTTTTTGCTCCCATTGTCATTTTATTTATATAAATAAACACAATTGATGTCAGGAAGAGACAACAAAGATTTCACTTTTTCTTCATTGTCACTGGATATTTTTGAGATAAGTAAAAATTTAGGATGGCACAACTTCAATTTTTGTTAAAAAATTTTTCTAGCTTTTTAAATTAATTTTCTGAAATTTTGCTATTTTAATCCTTCAATAAATTATTTTATTCTAAAACCGAAAATATTCCAAATTCACTAGTTTTAATGTTGTCCCTGGCGGATCTCGAAATCGGAATGTACGCTGAATTCGTTGTACATTCGTTACACATTGGTTAAACATTTAGTTGGAGTGAAAATTGTGTAGAAACTGAGTGGAAACTGTGGAAAAGTGTAATTGAATTGAATAATAAAAGTATGTAGTGATAGATTTGTGCTGTATTTGTGATAAATTAACGTGTTATAATTAAATAAATAAAGTGTAAAATGTTCGCGTAAGTGAGTTTGTCGATAAAGAAGTTGAGCCGCCGACTTTGCACGGTAGGTGGCAGCATTCATACTTTCTCCTTTTTAAAAATTCTCTTTTTCAATTGTAAATAGAAAAATTAATTAATTAATAAGTTATATAGTTTCTATGTTGTCATTTTTTTAACAATTGAATATTTGAAGATTGTTTAATGAGATAAATTAAACTTGTATAATCGATGCAAATTGTTGTTTTTAAAATACTTTTAAATAAATCTTTTCTTTTAATTACATTTATATTAAAAATAAATAATAATAAAATAAAGAAAGATAAAAAAAGTTTTCTTTATTAAAATTATGATTAAATTAATTTAATTGAATTTAATTAAAAAACAACAATTTGCATCGATTATACAAGTTTAATTTATCTCATTAAACAATCTTCAAAAATTCAATTGTTAAAAAAAATGACAACATAGAAACTATATAACTTATTAATTAATTAATTTTTCTATTTACAATTGAAAAAGAGAATTTTTACAAAAGGAGAAAGTATGAATGCTGCCACCTACTGTGCAAAGTCGGCGGCTCAACTTCTTTATCGACTATCAATTTGGATGTCACTAGAAAATTCTCTAGCCTGTCAAACTCACTTACGCGAACATTTTACACTTTAAACTTTATTTATTTAATAATAACACGTTAATTTATCACAAATACAGCACAAATCTATCACTAAATACTTTTATTATTCAATTCAATTACTTTTTTCCACAGTTTCCACTCAGTTTCTACACAATTTTCACTCCAACTAAATGTTTAACCAATGTGTAACGAATGTACAACGAATTCAGCGTTTATTCCGATTTCGAGATCCGCCAGGGGTACTCTTAATAATATTATTAACCATGTTATGTAAAAAAATTTCTATAAAAAGAAATTATTAATTTTATTCAGCCTAACATCGAGGAGAGAACATTAAAAAAAAGACTAGTTTGTAAGTTTCAATAAAAAAAAACTCCATAACACATCGATGCAGGAATCTGAAAATTCACTAAAAGAAATAATTCTGTTTTTTTTCAAATGTACGAAGAAAGAGAGAGAGAGAAAGAGAGAGACAATACAACATTCAAAAGATAAAGAAATTTAGAATATTGTAAATTTGATAAGGAGCACCCTATATTTACATTGAAATCATGCAAAGCAATTAATTTATTTCTTAATATTAAAAAAGATTAAGGCTAAACAATCCTTAATAGTAGAGTATAAGAAAGAAAGAAGACATGCGACGTTAAAGCAAGAGCAACAAATCCTTTTTTTTTCTATTTTCATGAGCGGTGGCAGGCAACTCTGGAGATGGCCTAAAACTCATATATTAAATTGTCGATTTGCTCAGCGTTGATATATAAATTGCTAAGTATATATAATATGTGCATTTTTAATTATATATATATATATCTAAATTTAGCAGTGGAACGGAGTTCCTCGCAACAAAATGATGCACAGTTGCAGTTCAACTATATATATAGAATAAACAGTATTCAATGCGGAAAAAAATTTTGTTCTGTGTGTGATTTTTTTTTTATTCTATAATGCTCCTGAATTATTTCAAGTATCTTTGTATGAAAAAAAATAGTTTAATAAAACTCATTAAGTCTTCTAATTTCAAAAGTATTCGCTTTCAAAATGTCTTTTCAGTATAAAAATTATCATCGTCAAACAATTATTCAAACAGAAAATATATGTAAAGCTCCACGAGAGAAGAAAAGAAAAATTTTAGGTTATGTTTGAGATTTTTAAAAAATAATTTAATGAAAACTAATTAAAAAGAAACTTTCTATCAAGGTAAAACTAAACATAATCTAAAATTTTTTCTCTCAAATTTCACTCTAATTTGCAGCACATTTTGTAACCGATAGAATTTGACTTGAAAAATGTATCAATTCATTTGTTCTTTTTTTGTAAATAAAAGATAAAAGTGACACACATGTGCTACGAAACTGAATTTTTGAAATAATAAAATAGACCCAAATAGCCGTTATCAAAGTTTTTAGTAATAAACAATCACATTTTTAATAAATAATACAAACATAGATGAAATATGTCGTAAAGAATATTAATTTCGACAAGAGGATATGACTACTGCTGTTATAATACTCTCCTCCCAGAGTTGGGTAGATATAAAATTCAATTAGGCTGCTTCTACAATAGTTAAATTGCATAGTCATAAAGATACACAAAACTAAGTATGCATATTATACATTCCCAACCCTGGTAGGAGGACTGAGAGCAGAAGTTTCACATAATAGACGTTACATATTTCGGAAGTTTTACTCGCACCTGTGAAAAATAATATTTTAACAAGTGCGAGTTAAAATCCCGAAATATACCCCCCGCTAACTAAAGTTTCCGTTCTTAATTTTTCTATAATTCTCTGTCAACTACCGCACCCTGCTCTAGTGACAATTTAGTGACTTTATAGTAACTTTTAATTTTAACTAGAATGTGGAAGGTTGTCATTGTCCCCACTTGCCACTTGTCATAATTCTCGTCAAATACCGCACCCTGCTCTGCTGAAAATTTAGTGACTTTATTTTTAAAATTAAAAGTTACTATAAAGTCACTAAATTTTCACTAGAGCAGGGTGCGGTAGTTGACGAGAATTATGACAAATGGCAAGTGGGGACAATGGCAACCTTCCACATTTTAGTTAAAATTTAAAGTTACTATAAAGTCACTAAATTGTCACTAGAGCAGGGAGCGGTAGTTGACAGAGAATTATGACACATTGGAAACTTGTCCAGTACCAAGTGTCGACAAAAAATTTATATCTCGAGATCCACTATGTATTCCTGACCTACCGGTTTGACGTTTTGAACAATGGTGACACTTCTATAACAATTTTATTAGTTTATGGCGTATGAGGTAACTAATTTAATATGTCATGAACTAATAAAATTATTATAGAAATGTCACGACTTTTCAAAATGTCATCAAACCGGAAGGACATAGCATTTAGATAATTAAGTGTACAATTTTAGATTATTTTTTTTGGAAATTATAAAAATTGTTTTATCAAAGAAAATAATAAATTTTATATCCTTCAAGATAAAATGTTTATAATTTGAAATAATATTAACAAGCTGAAATTGTAGGAATAGTGTGGATCACGTGAAATAATTTTTTGTTAACAGTTGTCAAAATGCATGCGCGCGCATTGTCTCATCCTAAAAAAAAAGGTCAAGGCTTTGCAATTTAACTATTGTAGAAGCAGCCTAATTGAATTTTATATCTACCCAATCCTGGGAGGAGAGAATTGATAGCAGAAGAAATCAAAATAGGGTAAAAGGTACAACGAACGACACCTGCTATTAAAAACGATAATAAATATAAAAATAATAATATT